CAAGAAATGCTGGCTGCTTCCAAATCCGCCATCACCGTCCTCTGGTCTGTTGATTCCTCGTGTTCTTTCCAGCGTTTCCTCCGTTTGAAGCCCATTTTGCTCTGATTTATTGGCACTCAGTTTGTGGCAGGGGGCGCCGTTTGCTTCATAGATCACAATCATCAATGACTCACCGCCAGAGCAAATCAGTTTATGGAGCAGAGCAGCACGGGTTCACTTCTCCGATATTTGTCAGGCTGATGTTTCACCTTTCCCGGAGTCTTAATAGCAGTATTATCTAACGTCCAATCGTATGTTAGCGTTCACCAAAATGTTTTTATAAACATTTTTTCAAAATAAAGTTTTTTTTTTTAAATAATAACTTCAGTAAATGTGAGGTTTATATACTTTAGTACTTCAGTATAATCTGCAGATAAATGTACAATAAGGTCAGACAGACCAACAGAAGGATGAAGATGATGATGATGATGATGATGATGTGCACAGGAAGGATAGGATAGATGATTTGGTCAAATGAGAACATTGGGAGAGGAACACAACCTAAAGAACAACATCCTCATGGGGTGGGACATTTTGTATTTGCCAAAAAATAGGATTCTACGAAAAACAGGTCCAGACCACGTTTACTCTATTAATGTGAAAAAGAATGAACATGTTATAGAATAAAATTCTAAATATGATAATCGTTTTAAATCCAGGTCAAATGACCATTAAATGTATCATTAAATTGATATGAAAAAGGTCTGGAGAAATGCTTGAAAACTACTGACTATCTTCACAAACAGCTGTGCTTTTATATCAATATGTCTTTATATATCAAAAAATAAACAACTGACTCTTTGGATTAGAGGGAGTTAGAAATTTGACCTTAACAAACCTTTAATGTTAAAAGGAAAACGGTTAGAAATGGCCTTGATTTTTAGAATCAAAAGAAAAAAAACCATAGATACAGAAATAGAATTTTTTAATCAAACTTTTATTACGTGGCATAAATTCATATTCACGCCTGATTCTGAATGCGTTGACCTTTGTGACCCTTGTGACCTCTCCTCTCACTCATACTGATGGTGTCGCCTCGTTCTTCTTCTTGGCCCAGTTTCACATGTTTCCTGTCATATTAAAGGTCACAACATCATCAGCAACATCACTACAGATCCTGGCCAAACCAAAAATAAATAATACATCTGGCAACCTGTTACTGGGCCTGCCTGCCTGTCGTCACCACAGCCCTCAGCCAATCCTTTAGAGGGGGGGCGTGGCCTGTGCTCGGTGCGTGCCTGCTCCCTGCTCCTTGTGTATATTCTGAATGAAACAGCATTTGCCTGCATGCCTTGCTGCACTATGCTGCGCTCTGTGCTCTGACTGTGGAGAGTGAGGGGAATTCTGACCTGACAGCAGTTGGGAGTCCCTCTCTGCAGTACTGGGGACACCTATGGGAGAAGGTGGCAGTTTGCTTTGCATCGAGACAAGGTCGGTCAAGCAAGTGATGGCTGGAGCAGGAGAAGGAGCCCAAGACCAGCAGTCGGAGCTGCACTTTTCAGTCCATCTGAATCTTTCATGAGAGAGATCCTCCAACATCACGCCGCCTTAATGGACTGAGTACAAAAGCAGGTACTGAGTTGTGCATTAAGAAGGCAGGAGTGTGTCTCACAGCCTGAGGAACACAGGAGCGAGGAGCGAGAGAGAGAGAGAGAGAGAGAGAGAGAGAGGCACCAGTGTTTGTACTCCTCAAAGACACCAGGAACCAGGAGGCAGATGGAGAAGGAGCCGCAGTGAGGAGGAGGAATTCAGCCTTGTGAGTAGCTCCGGTCACAGAACTATCAGGAGATTATGGTGTGGAGCTGAAGAAGGGGGCATGACTGCCGGCTGGAGAATTCCTAAAGCTCTAAAGAAGGAGAGAAACTCGACACGTGTTCATTTATGTTTGTAAGGCGGCCGTAAACAAGAACTTCTTTGTTTTGGGATCAAGCAAAGGAAGGTCATAAATTGTCCGTCTGCGGTGGCACCACAGAGAAACAGAGTCTGTCCCTCGGACCTGAAGCCGACCTGCAGGCATGTCCTCCAACGAGCTGAGCGTGGACATGGACTCCTGCATACGGACGTTCAAGGAGCACATGCACCTGGAGCTGGAGCCTCCCAAGGTACCAGGGGTGATGGGAGGAAAGAGAGGAGCCACCTCGCCCAAACTCTCCCCCAGGAGCTCCCCTCGACTCTTCCGCCGACTGATGGTAAACAAGAACATCAGACAGAGGCGGCGCTTCACCGTGGCTCATACCTGGTAAGACCTGGGTCTGAGGACAAGGTTGAGGGTGAGAAAACCAGTGACGCAAAAAAAACAAAACAAAACAAAAGGCTGTGACCAACGACATCTTTGAGGGTGAGAATTGGAGGTGATGTTAGAGACCAATAATGGAAGTCAAATTGAATGTGAGTCATACAGATGGATGATGGGAAAAAACAGAGATTAATTGTAGGTAAAAACATCAAGGAAGGAAAGATGAGAAAATACAGGCAGGAAACACAGACGGTCAAAGATGAAGTAACTGTTCAAATGTAGGAACGCTGTCTTTTGTCTCGTCCACTGGGGTCAGTAATGAGGTGTGACAGGGATAATTTGTCTCTGGGTCGGAGGATGTGTCAGAAGAGAAACCCATCAGCAGCTGCAGACTAGAGAGAGAGCCATTTTGATGTTGTGTGTGTGTCTGTGTGTGTGTCTGTGTGTGTGTGCGCTCTGTACCTGTGTGAAGTGATGTGTCAGTGATTCTTAACTCTGGCTGCAGAGTTGTGAAGGTTGGTGTATTTTATTTATTTTTTTCTTGTTGGTCCAAACGATCCAGAAATAAATTGGTTTCTTTTCTGCCAAAAAAAAAAAGACCTCAGGATGCAGTTCCTGTCGTGTCCAGCGCACTGACACCGTGGGGTCCAGTTGAATGTTCTATTCTGACAGCCCTGGGTTCTGTTCTGTGATAATAACTGTGCACCTTTGTCCCCCCCCCCCCCCCCCCCCGCCCTGCAGTAAGACTCTGTTCAGTGATGTGCTCTGGGTTATGCAATGTATGGATTAGAGGGAAACAAAAGAGCAGCTGTGATTGGACAACAATAGGTGTGTGTGTGTGTGTGTGTGTGTGTGGTCTTTACCTTAGCAGGAGCAGAGCACACCACACCACACCACACCACATCAGCAGGGTTGGTGCAGATCTGGTGCCGTGACCTTTGAGAGTGTAAATGAGATCATCTTATAAAAGAGGGAACGGTCACATGACCCACAGATATATAGAACACATCACGCCTCTGTGGAGTCGTGGTAATGTGGGGAAACAGGCTGACCCCTGTTCATATGGGGGGGGGGGGGGGGGTCCAAAAGATTAAGGATGGACGAGTGAATGAAAACAGGAAATGACTCCATGTATAAATCCACTCTGTACCGTCAGTTATAGAGAATGTCTGTTTATGACGGACACGGATGAAAACTGCTCCTGTCATTACGTCCAAATACCACGGCTGTGTATTATCTGGTTTGTCTCTCTCTCCCTCCCTCCCCTCGATGGGGGGAGACTGACGACTGCTATTACAGCAATTAACTGTCACTTCAGCCCATTAACAGTCACAGTGAGGAGAGCGTGTCCTTGAGTCAAGTGTTGAGGTCCAACCAGAGTGGACGCAGAGTCGACTGTAGAAAGATGATTCACAAATGAAGTTAAAAAAAAAAGAAAAGGAGAAACAGAGCTTTCATAGTTTAGTGGCAGAGAGTAATGAAGACAAACAAAAATGTACACAAAGATAAGATACGGTCTTTGGATATATTAGCAGTTTCCTGTGTTTCTAGATCGGAATAAACACTGATCATGACGCAGAGAAGAAAAAAAAAAAACCCATCGAAAAAAATCACAGTTTTGATTTTTACTTTTACAGGAATGTCTTGTCTGTCCTGTCCTCTCTGCTGAGACTCAATTCATTTTTTACAAATTTTACAAATATGAAGTAATAAAATATTCAATTTACAATCAAATCCAATATTGTTAAACAACTTCAATGTTAATGTTAGGAAAAGAAAAAAAAACATTCCTTACAATTTAATCCTCATTTTCAGTTTGTTTTTATTTCTTCAAAATTTTGTAAAATCTCTTAATTCTGGTTACCATTCTGAGATTAGTCCCATTTCTTTCATTTTTTCCCCTTTATTCGTTAATGTTTTCTCTTATGATGTTAACGCCGGAGTTGAGACTTTCTTTTTTCTTTTAGTTACTTATGCAGGAAAAACATTGTAATTTTCCCACAAAAAGTCTCTTGTCTCCGGTGACTAATGTCAATGATTTGACAACCAGCTGATGTTTTTATTCCAAGGCGTTCCCTGAAAATGAAGTTACTGAAAAATGCAACAATCAACAGGGATTGTTTTTTGTTCGATCCAAACTGAATTCAGGACAAACTGGTTGTGTTAGCGGTCGTTTCCTGACTCTGTGCTGGCTCTGCTGTGGCCCAGTGGTTGAACTCCTGACCTGCTCTGAGACAATGTCTGTACTGTTCACGTCTCCTCCTCTGTCTGCTCCTGTTTTTATTTTACTCTCCCTCTCTCCGTTGGTCTGTGTTCTCCCCCCAAGTTCCTCTCTGGCTGCTGTAGACATCGCTCTCTCCCTCTCTCTCTCTCCCTCTCTCTCTCCCCCCCCCCCCCCCCCTCCCACCTCTCCTGCCACTCTCTACATCGCCTTTCTGTTCTTGTTTGTTCCAAAGAACCACATGATTTAAATTTTTGATGGCGACATGTGCTCTGTGATTCTCTCACAACAAACGCGCACCAGGAGATGGAGCGAGGTTTAATGGAAGTGAGGATGAAAGAGAGGGAGGATGAAAAAAAAAAAAAGTTCTTTCATACTTTTAAAAACTGATTTTATGTCTATTTTATGGTAAAAAAAATTCAGAGAAATATTTGATCATCTGTAAAACCAACTGAGACTTTTTTTTGCAGCTAGACAAAAAAGGTTAGGGTTTTTTTTTCTTCTTCTAGGGCTTTACACAAGTAAATGAATAAATAAAGGAATCAATTCTAATAATTTTGAATACATTTGTATATAATGCATTTTCCGTCATACCTGGTTCCTAACTCCATTGAAACAGGCCAAATTACCTGTAGTACCAATGTTATAATGTTATGTTATCTTTAAATTCTCCATCTGTAACTGTTTGAATAACGTTAATATTTATGTTGAAAAATGTGCACATCAATGACAGTTATGTAATGAATCATTAATATAGTGATAAAAGGCACAAAGTCAAACACAGTTCGTTCTCATTTAACAGTGGAACTTCACTGATGTGTTATTGCTGTAATGGATAAAAATAGACATGAAGACAACCTCTAATCTTTTTGAGTTATGGAATTCAGTTATGTCGGCCGCGATTTAGAAATTGGAATTATGTTTTGTCCACCTCTTCCTCCTCTTTTATCTCCCCCTCCTCCCTCCCGTCAGCTTCATTTTTTATACTGCATCACTCAGTTCTGTTCACTCCATCTCTCCCTCCGCCCTGTCTCCCTGCTGAAGCAGCCATGCAGAGCCTAAATATCACCAGTAGCTGAGGGAATTAAATTGCTCGGGGCTGTGTGTGTATGTGTGTCTCCCATTTTGTCTGGGAATTGGCTTTAAATGAATTGTATCAAGTGGCGGCTCAGAGCAGACACGGGTGACACCCTGTCGTCGGTGTCGTACCAAACGTGGCTTATTAAATCCTCGTTTGGCTCCTGTTAATTTTATAACTGCTCAGCGCTCGTCCCGGCTGCTGAGCTACAGCTGTAAACACTCCACATCAAGCGACATAAGGGAGTGGGGAGTTTTAAATGAAAAGCCAGTGACACATTCAATGACAACCTGACTGCCTAATTAACTGGAGCGTTAGCAGTTGCGTGCACGCTGTTGCAGAAAAGGCTGATGGGAAGTTGACTGCTTTTCCTGGCGGGATGTCCTGGTGTTTTGCTTCGAGGTTTTACAGAGAACATACTGCACACCATATATAGTCCATACACTGTCGGTTTGGATTAAACTGATGAAGTGGTTCGCTTGTCATCTCACCATTGCTGCTTTTCTGCTCCATTTTCTACGGTCCATCAAGGCAGCAGTGACTTAGCAGCAGAAACGAGCAGCTGAGTGGAATCCTCCCACAGTGGTGAAGATGTTTACGCATTGTTACCAAATTTCAAGTAAAAAAATTAAACTAAATGTTTTTTTAAATTATTATTATTTTAGAGTAATTCAATTAGTCTTTTTTTTATATAAATACAGGACCAAAAACCTCATTGGTTTGTGCCCAAAAAGTCTTCATTTAAATTTATAACAAGATGGTATTTTTATTAAGCAAAATAAAAAATGCAATTTCAGTAACACATCAGTTTGTTTACACTATGGTGGAAAATAAACAACATTATTGTGTTTGTCTGACCAAAATCTCACATGTAAACACACATGTAAATCAGTATTAAACAAATAACGTGGTTCTCTTGGCTAACTTTGTTAGCACACTATGTTGGCTAACACAAACATAATGGTAATACATAATAACTATTAATAATTTTATGAAAGAATATTTGTTCAAAATATAATAACACACAGCAGTAATGTTGTTAGCATTATCAATCGCCAATGAGGTTAGTTCCTAGCTACAGTAACAGCGCCTCTGTTTTTAACTCTTAGCGACATTGCTAACACTTTGCTGTACATTATCGAAGTGTGTAGAGAAACGTCACATCGGAACTACTAAAAATGCGAAAAGAGTGATTGAGTCATTTGGTTTTTTTGCTTGTTGCTAGCTAACTTGCTAATGCCTTCAATTTCTACAGAAATTGATTGGGAGCTAACATCGCCACCTATCATATAAGTGTTAGTTAGTGTCAGTAGACACGACGTATCACTCTGTGTAGCTACACTACAACCGTTCCTTACGTCAGGTCCATATGAATCAGTTATTGTCGCCACGGTGACGCTGCAGCCTCTTGTCCTTGAGTCCCAGGGAAAACATGTGGCCTTTGGCTCTAGCATGCAGGAAACTCTGGACACCACATTAATCTTCATTACAGATGATGCTCAATCTTCCTCATCCTCCCCCCAATGCCTGCCTCTTTCAGCCCCCCCCCACCCCCCACCCCCAGTGTCTATTTAGCATTTAGCCTCCCGCAGTGTTGTGTCATTGCTAATAAAACTGATGGTTCATCAGAGGCAGTGTTCGCCTGTATGACATCGTTACCTCATAATAATATAATACATAGTACATATACATGATAATACATACAGATAGTTTATATGAAAGTATTTATTATTAAATGATGTTATCATCTCATTAAGATTGAAGATTTGATCAAAGCTGTGCCTCTGAAATCATAAAGCGAAGATTATTTTTGAGCCTGAGATTCTGCAGCTGACCGTGGTGAAAAAAAAGAAAAAAAACAAAATCCAATTTAGTTGTAATAGTCTGAAAATGGATGGAATAGCAGGAACCATTTTAACTGATGCAATAGATGCATCCTCTGCCCCCACTCCCCCCCCCGCTGCCCCCAGACTCATGGACCTCACACACTGCCAGATAAAACCAAGAAAAAGACAGAAAAAAAACACCAGGATTTTTGTAAAGACTTGTAAAAAACAAACAAATATTACAGCAGTATTAGTGACGATGGTGCAGCGGGGTCGTGGGCAGCACACAGGAAGCCCTGCCCAGGAGTTAGATTCAACTTTGACCTTGAGCCGACGTTGGTTTAGATCCACATCTCAATCAACAAAATCGGAGCTCGTAAACATTTGATTGTTTCTCTGCTTTTTATTCATTGTTTTTTCATGTCCTGTTTTTTTTTTCACCATCCAACCATGAGGTGGAGTTTGTGAATATATTCCAGGAGAATTTGCTGGATGATTGGGAGAAATCAATACAGAAATTCCAATGGGATTCATCCTTTTGCTTTTCCTGAACCTATAAAGGTGACCTTGAGACACAGACTCGTAGCTACGCTCGTATTTTGTCATGCCTTTGGATAATGAAAACAAAGGCACCACCTTTCATCACTTCTTCTTCTTCTTCTTCCATCGTGAGACTGTAAAAAAAAAGAAAAAAAGATAGTGAACAGAAACACAGGAAAGCAGCTGCGGAGAACCTCACAAAGAACAAGAGCAATTAGTTGACATCTCAGTTCAGAGGTGGAAGATTGGTCCATTGTATGAGGACAATGAATCTGCACCTGATAATACTACACATTTGAAGCAGCTACAACAGAGAAACTCATGGAGTGATTGTCGAGTGTGTGATCCAATCAGCTTGAATGTTTGGCTCTGACACGGTGGTTCGTGTGAATACCTACTGTGTCGTCAGTCGTGACTTATTGTCTGTGTCTTCGTGTCGTCATGTGACTGGTGCAGCTGTACATTCTTTTCAGTCCATTGAGAAAAGCAGAAGGATTCATTTCCAGCTGAAGCTCAGAGGCAGCGTTGGTGAGAGCTGAAATAAGGCCAGTGTGGCTGTTCCCTCTGACTCCTCCCCCTCCCCCTGTGTGTGCCCTGAAGGAGACACATTTATGATTATCTTCAAATTAAGTTCCGTTTGTCAGACAGACAGAACGCTACAGTGGCAGCGTCCTCGTGTTTTTCAGTTGTTTTTTTGACACAAACGACTCATTGATATTTTTTTACTTTTTTTTTTAATACTTAAACAAAACCAACGCTCTCAGAGCGCCTGAAAGCCAAACCAACAGTATCGTCTCATTGCAAAAAAAATAAAAATAAATTATGAAATCCAACAGTATCGTCTCATTGCAAAAAAAAATAAAAATATAAATTATGAAATCGAGTTTTTTGTCTTTCAGTCCAGTCTTGTTGACCTGGAACTGGTTTCTAGAACAAGTGGATTTGTCGAACGCTGTGGTCTTAGAAGAGTGATTTCTTTTTAATAAAAGGTCTATTTATAGACACGACACTGATAAACACACTTGTCACTTGCGTTGATGGTACGATACTCCTGTCTCCAACTCCTTGAGATAAAAATGAAAAAAAGTTCAAAGAAAAAGACAAGTGCAGGTCGTGTTGAAAATCTGAAGTTATTTTTATCGTCATTCATCAATTCATTGTCTGTTTTTTTTTTACCTTGGTCGTCCTGTCTTTTGTCCCTGCTCGTTTCACTCCGGCACATCACTCTGTGTGGCACACGCTGGTAAATTGCCGGTGGAGGAATGTCTGTGTATTTTAGCAGCAGAGTGACTTTCAGCGTGACTGTGTGTACCTTTGATTTGTGTCTCCTTGACTCACTGTCACCACAGGCCTTCAGCACAAACACCGCCCACCAGCTCTCTGATGTGGAGTATTTGAGACGTTGTGTGTGTATGGAGTATTTTTATACGGACACATTACAAAGTTTTTCATGTCACATTACATTTCAAAGTGAAATAAAAGAAAACTCAAGTAAAAAGGCAAAAAGGACACGCTGATATGATGTAGCTGTCAGAAAATACAGCAGGGCTCAAATATTTACAGTAAAAAGTATCTGACGTGTTCGGACCAGTACAGTCATAACATAAATACCTTAAATAACAATAAGTGCATGTTTATCCTTTATTGTATTCCTGCTAACAAGTATACTACCTTTTAAATCCCCCTGAGAGGTAGAGCTAGATCTTGTAGACCTGCTGCTGCTTGTCCAGAAAAGCACACAGTTTCACAGTAAAGTTTAAGTTTAAGTTCAAGACATTTAATATAAACACACAGCTACTACAACAGCTTTGAAATACACACACAAATAAGTTAGTAAACGTGCACGGTTTGTGAATGTGTAGCAAGTGATCAACAAAAATTACGGCTACCATAACTTTGAATCTCTCCTGCTTAAATACATACGTTTCAGTCAGGGGTGTGCTTTTTTTCACTTTCAAAATTCATCATGCGGCCCGGATTTAACCCTCTAGTGGACCGGTTTTGGCCCGCAGGCCGTACGTTTGCTTTTTTAACATCTTAAACACCCTGATATCACTTTGAAACCTGACGACCTGAAATCATCAGTCCCAGTTCCTCGGTCGAACAGCCAGTGGTGTGAGTGTGTTCCTCTCACTTCCCAGCTGCATGCAAATCAGGAAAGCGGGAAGTTTCCCGGTTTATTCCCGTCATCTCTCAAACCGCTGAACCTCAGTGCTCTGTCGGAATGATCGCCGGAATCTGTTTCCCCTCATTTGTTTTTATTTTAATATTAGCACAGAGTAAGTGTTATTCAGCAGGTCGTTATCTTTGTCCAGCTGGTTTAACACGTGTGTGTGTGTGTGTGTGTGTGTGTGTGTGTGTGCAGCACAATCTCTCTCCCCCACTTTGCCTCTAATGACGTGACACACATGGATGTTTTTCCTCTGTCGGATTAGCCACGGCCGCTCAGACAGTGGCCGTTGTGTTCCACCTGTGATGACCCTCCTCAGATGTCGGCGCTCTTCTGTCGGCTGACGCTCCGTTGGTGCTCACTCTCTCAGTCTCAGTGATGCTTTTTAATCTTACCTGTCTTCTGTTGAGGTTAAGTGAAAAGGTTCAGTTATTTTTCTCTGCGGTGTTTACTCCAAATAGCCGTTAAGCCGCGGACTGTGTCCCGTGATTAAATCTTTCTGTCTTTCTGTCCATTAGCCCTGTTTCTGGCGGCACTTTTCACTTAGCGTCACAGTGATTCATGGCCATTTAGAACATGAGTGGGTAGAAAGAGCGTCTGGGTTCAGGATTATAGAAGCCAACGGGCTTTTCTTCCAGTTAGTCGAGGCTAAAACCATGTTCCTATTTGTCACAATAATCTTAACAACAAATTTAAAAATACTAAAAAAACAACTCATGGTTCCATCCTGTTGTAAGAATCCACATTTCTGCTCATTCTGCTGACAGGGCAGAACATTACAGTTTATCAAATGCAGCTGATTTTAACACAGAGATCAGGAGCTGTTTCCCATTGGTCAGTGGAAAATGTGAATGATCATTTTTTTTCTTATGAGAACAGCGTTGGTTTATTTGAAGAGAACTGTTGTGATCTGTCTTTCCACCCACGGACCACGGGTTTGTGTCTGTCATCAGCAGTATATCTACCAAAGAGGCAGTGGAGGAGTGGTGTGTGCTGTTGCCTTACAGGAAGAAGTGAAACGGTTTGATCCTCAATGTCTTTTCTGTAGGGAGTCTTGACATTTCTGTATGTATGTCGCCCCCTAGAGTAGATCTGGTAACAGGTTATTTGCCTTGACACCTGGAGTATTATTAGTGGACCTGTGTTGTATCACAGTACTGTGAACCATAGTATATGTCCTTTACTTTCTACCTAATACTGCAATGAGACAGAGTAGAACGAATACTTTGGCGAACTGTAAAAATCTTCAAAATAAATGACAGAAGTCATGACGGTGCAGAGTCGCAGGGCGTGGAGTCTTAAAGCTCTTCAAAATAAATGACAGAAGTCATGATGGTGCAGTCGCAGGGCGGCAGTTCTGGCGTGGAGTCTTAAAGTCGAAACAAAGTCCTTACGTTTACAGTACCGCGCCGTGAAGTACTTGTCAGATACTACAGACCGATGTGTGCCCTGAGTGGACCTCCTGAGGCCGCGCCTCAGTACAACCAGGAGGGGGCGTTTGTGCAGCCCTTGACTTGATGGACACGTTTTAAATTGGTGGCCTGTGGGAGCAGGAGCTGTGGAAATGTACACATAAATACACAGGAACACACACGGAATAAAGAGCAGTAGTGTTTATGGACAACACACACACACTCTCACACACACACACACACACAGACACACACACACAGGGAGCAGTTGGTCAGATTGATGTCAGGGAGGAAACGACACAGATTAAGAAAACGTATATTTGAAAATTCGAAGTTGATGAGGAAAAAATTCCAGTGGGGCTAACCTCATCCCTCGTCGACTCTGCTCCTACACACGTATATACACGTTTAATTAGCCTCGCAAACTGCAATAATATTTCACTATCTAGTGCAGAAACCAAACATTCAGACTCTAACCTCGTCCCTCGTCGACTCTGCTCCTTCCTTCCTCGTCCTCGTCCTCGTCCTCACCTCATTAAGATTCACATTTTCTTCATCAGCTGCACGTCTTCCTCAGACCTCCCACTCAGAGGAGGTTCCTGAAAAGACCTTCATTAACTTTCAAACCATGCACACTCCCCACTCCTCAGTCAATAAGTCCAGCCGTTGAGGGTCAGTCCGAGGAAACCTGACCGCAGCCGAGAGCACAACCACCGTCGGCAGGTGATTCTTTCATAAGAAGCTTTTCGCAAAAAAGAAAAAGAAAAAACAAATGAAATCTGACCAATCAGCTCAGGACGTGTAACCTAAAAGTTAAAACTGAGATCTGTAACGAGAATTCTCCTGGGACCTTCCATAATTAGCAGGTTGAGACAAGAAAGTATGTGTATATAATTAAAAAAATATATATGAATAAATATGTGTGTACACATATATACATATATATAGTATATATCAGGTTGAGACAAGAAAGTATGTGTATACAAATAAAAAAATCTATATGAATAAATATGTGTGTACATACAGTATATACATATATATAGTATACGTATATACATGTATATATACTATATTTTTTATTCAGTGCAGTGATGTTACAAAACAGGCTCTGTGAATTAAATCTGCATTTATTTGCATTTGTTCATGTAATCAGGGTGAAGCTCCCGCTGTGACGGGATGACTCACCCACATGAACCTCATCAGCTGCAACAATGGAGTCTGTTCTCATCAGAAATACGTTGAACGCGGATCATAAATCAACATGGTTGATGTTTTGTTTTCTTCTGCTGCTTTTGTGTCACCGTGGATTCATTCATTTTTAAATGATGATGATGATTCACGCACAAACAAGAATGTAAAGTCGTTTTACGATAAGGAAAAAAAAAAGAGCGTCTACACTGTGTCTAAGCCAAGGGTCTACAGCCATCTGTGGGGTGTACTACCCCCCCTCCCCTGCCCCCCCCTCTCTTGACCCTAATTTCCTGTCTTCTGTGTTGATAAGAAGCGAAAGAAACAAACACTTTTCCAAAAATAACTGACTTTGTTAGTTTCTCATGTCAGTCTGTTTAGTTCTGACAGTGACGTGACTTTGTCAGCTGTAGATCTGCAGACAACGCCCTGTTCTTCTTCTTCTTCTTATTATCAACAGTTCAGTTCAAATGAAACGACTTCAGTGATTGGCTGAGAATTTGTTTTGTTATTTTTAATGGGTAAAAAATGGGTATTTCACCGTACTCGGAAATACTTGCTTTTAATTTTTCACTTTAAAATTTAAAACTCCAGAAACGTAAGCTCTCCTTCTGTCTTGACCTCAGGGGGACATTTATGATTCCGTACAAAGAAACAGTCTTTGTTTGTTCATCGGCTCAGATACTAAGCACTGAGTGAGATGAACTGAATCCATTTTTATTAAAGTTCATCTCTCTGTCTGTCTGTATCATCCCAGTTGTCCCTGTCCTGGTCAGTGATGGAGCTGCTGTATCACAGACCACAGTGTAATCTGCACTGATGTTGTCAATAATTCAAAGTCAACATGATCTGTTTTGTTTGTCTTTTTTCTCTGCATGATGTCAATCTTGTTAACTAAGATGTTTATAACCACACACCACACAGTGTTGAACCAACCAAAGGTCTGGGTTGACCCTGTTCTCGTGCACCAACACCAACACCAACACCAACATCAACATCAACTCCTCGCCACTTAGACCTCA